ACTCCTCATGGGGTCAGGGATGCTGCATGCCTTGAAGGGAGCAGTGGTATGTCCCCTTTCCAAAAGATCATCCTTGGACTTGACCATGTTTGTCTGGTCTCCTTTTGGAGGAATGTTTTTGAGAGGGTGGTAAGCACTCAGTTTTAGAGGACTTGGATTAAGTGGATTATCCAGACCCCCTTTCAGTCAGGATTCAGGCCAGGTTGCAGCATTAGTCATGTCAGTGGATGAGCAGCAGAGGACTTGGGATGGGGTGTATTGTTGCATTTATTTATATCTCCCGGATCTCTTGATGACTTTCAACATGGTATCCTTTGATGAGAGAGACAGAGATGACTGGGAGGAGATGAGAGTGATAGAGAGATGAGAGAGAGGGGGGAGAAAGAAAGAGGAAGAAAGAAAAAGAGAGATGAGAGAGAGATGAGAGAGGGAGAAAAAGACACAGAGAAAGAGACAGAGAGAGATATATACCTGTTTATAAGAAAATAGAAAAATGGCTCTTTGAGTCTTTAAGGTTGCAGATCCCTGGGTTAGGCAAACATAGTTGTTAAGTGAATGTTGTCCTTAAGTGAACACTGGTTAAACAAATCCAGAAGGAATTGTTGGAAGCTGGCAAGAAACATAGAAAACCTCAGTCATATGACTGTGGGATGTTGTAACTGGTCATAAGTGTGTGTGTGTAGGCTGTCAAAACTCCAAAAACAGGTCAAGTAGCCCTGGGAAGGTCAGTCATAAATTAGAACAGTTGCTAAGCAACCGGCCATTAAACAAGGACCACTTGTATTTGGTTTGCCAGTCACATAGCTACACTCACCCAATCACATAGCCACCTGGTCATGCCCACCCAGTCACATGGCCATGAAGCCACACCCACAAATTAGGTCACGCACACCGAACCTGTTAAGAAATTTGAATCCCACTCCTGATGTTAGTAGAAGACTGCATTGTAAGGGTGGGCTTGGTGAACTCCCAATTCCCATTCATTATAAGCTGCCTACAGAATAGCACTTTCTGCAATATACTCACAAGGAGCATATGACTGGAATCTTATGGATGATTTCAATGATTTCTCCTTCCTTCTGAGAGATTTTGCTGTTCTGGATTTTGAATCCAGTTGTGATTTACTCAGTGCTGCAAAACTGCAAGGTATCAGCTCTCCATGGTGCTCACTGGAAGTCAAGGAACCCACTTGATCTTCAAAATAGAGTCCTTATTATATTCTATGTTTTATCTAATATTTCTTCTGGCAAGTTATTTGGGTTGTTAGCTAATATAGTAACATGCCATTGTCTGCTTATAATAGTAAGACATTGATGTTGCAAGTCATCACATATCTGATGTCATTGATTGATGTCAGTTCTTAGTGATCATACAGGTGGACTTTCTCTAAAATAATTTCTTCCATCCTTGCTCTTCAGGTCTTTCCATGGTGCCTTCTGGCCACTGAATGAGTCCATCTGCCTTTCTTCTGTCATCCTTTCATTTTTGTTCCACTTTTTCAAGTATTATAGATTTCTCAAGAAACCTATATGTTTGTATAGCATGTTCATAATAGGCAAGTTTCAGATTGGTCATTTGTGCCTCAAATTAGAATTTTGAATTATTATTTTCTGTGTTAAATTTGTTTGCCGCTTTTCTATCCATGGTCTTTTCAGAAATACTATCTATTCATAATTGTAAGCACTCTATTATTCTGCTCCAAACTCCCAAGTTTTGCTTCCATAGATTGTGGTAGGAAAAACTACTGGCTGCACCATTTTCATCTTTGTAATATAAACATGGCATGGTACTTATATTTTTCAAGATATTAATTTCTACTCAATCAATTTCTACTGCCATTAGTTTGGGCTTTGTATTTACTCTTGGTCCCATTTTTTTCACTGTGCTTATTGACTTAAATAAGATGAGCTTCCAAATCATTTGAATTTTCAGCTCCAAGAGTAGTGTCATCAGCAAGATGCAGGTTATTGATTTTTTCCCTCCAGGTTTAAATTTATGTTCAACTTCTTATTCTACATTTTCTTTGTCAATTGTTTACAAGATAATAGGTATAAGTAAAAACATAGTTATGTATACATGGATACATATAAGAATATGGGGTGAGGTCAGTAGCAGACAGTCTAAGGTTAAAGTTTTTGGGGTTTGGGGAAGAAACCACAGAGTCAGATAGAGTATTCCAGACATTGACCACTCTGTTGCTGAAGTTGTATTTCCTGCAATCAAATTTGATGCGATTAAACTTGAGTTTGTATCTATTGTTTGCTCTTGTATTGTTATGGTTGAAGCTGAAGTATTCATTGACAGGTAGGACATTGCAATGTATTATTTTATATACTAAGATCGGACCGAAGGCGGCGTAGTTCTAGATTTACTAGGTCTAGAATTTCGAGTCTGGTGGCATAAGGTATTCTGCAATGAGTAGAGGAGTGGAGAACTCTTCTTGTGAAATATTTCTGGACTTTCTCAACTGTGTTAATATCAGATATGCAATGTGGGTTCCAGACTGATGAGCTGTATTCGAGTATTGGTCTAGCAAATGTTTTGAATGCTCTAGTTATTAGTGTAATATTACCAGAGAAAAAGCTCTTCCAAGTTTCCTCTCTATATTTATAACACTGTAGGTTGAATGAATAAATAATCTTTGTGTAAATAATCTTTTTGGTTTTCTTAATTAACCAACACATTTCAGCAATATTTTTTATCCTTTAGTTTTTTTCTAAAACCAGCTTGAATTTTTAGCATCTCACTTTTCATGTATGACTTTAAACTCCTATACTTTATTTTGATAGCATATGAAGTTAAAATATATTGTAAAATAGTTTTTACACATTGTTATGTCTCCTTATTTGATATTGTTTGGTCATTTTTCAATTATGTGTCTCATTTCTACTATTACCCATCAAGTCCTATTACTTTCCAAACATGGTAATGACAATAGTGCAGATTTAAGTTTTAGTAGCTTTTGTAAATAGGAAATATCTTCTAAGCTAAGGTATCTTGAATGTTGACTTCTTTACAGATAGTGCTCAATTTATGATTGGTTGCTCAGGGATCATAAAAATTAAGAAGGATCTCCCCAGGGCTATTTATGACAGATTCAAAGTTCCAATAGTCACTACTACCCCCACAGTCACATTATCACATTTTGGGCAAAAAATGAAATCACCCCCATTCCCTTGTATTCTGACAGCATATATACTATATACTTCTGACCTTTACCATTTTCTTGTTTCTGTTGCTGATGAAGTGTGCCCAGCCTGGGTGCTAAAACAAATTGCACCCAGGTGAAAAACAAATTGGAATCCCAGGGCTTCAGTTTGCCCAAAAAACATCTTTGTATGGTACCTCTCAGCTGGATTGGAGAGTGTTTTTTCTGCTGCAAAAAAAATAAAATACAGTCCTGTTGTGCATTGTGAAAACAACTGTTGAGGTAATTCCCCGTTAGGAGAATGAGCGCACACCGGGAGACGTAGTGAGAGTGGTGAAGAATAACACACAATCAGCACACAGATACACTGTATAGTAAAATGTAGGTTTTTACTTCTAGTAAAACGGTTAAGCAAAGTTCAACAAAACAGTCCAAGTCATTCACGGTTAAAGCAGTCAGTTTTCAGTCCAGGGATAATCCAAATATCAAAGTCCAGTATCAAAAACAGTTCAGTAAAAGACTTATATCAAATCCAAGAATAACCATGATCAATAACAGTCAATACAGGAACGGCAACACTCTCCAGAAAGGGACAGAACAGAACAATCAAACCAGGTTTCTGGTTCCATTTTATGGCCGTTTGGGGAACCACACCCAATTATAATTTTAGCATTCCCTTAAAGAGACAGTATTAAAATGTCTATCCTGGTTTATATATTTCCAACCCAAATGTTAGGTGACTTACGTTCCTAACAACAACTATTGTAGATTTTGGAATCTGGCCTCCCAGTTCTCATAGACTCAAAGTCTTATTGTTTGCTGCTTCATTATCTGTGGCATTACATTGTAACAGAACTGTTCAGATTTCAATCCCCTGTTATTTATTCATAAATTTATTAAACAGTATTATTTTCTGTTTTATTCACTATTCAATATTGAAGGATACTATTGAATAAATAGAATATGCCATGCATATTTACTTCACATGTTCCTCTCAGAATATCCAATATTTCAATTCTATATCCTTACAAAATGTTTCATAATTCAAACATATACACTTTATTTCTCCAAACCAACAATACTAGAATAAACTTTTTCATGTCAATACATTTGAGGAGGAGGAAGAAACCACATTTCAAAACTATTTTAATACGTGATTTCTATATTTCTGCCGAGAAAACGTTATTGGAGTGCCTTGTTTACTTATTTTATAGCCTAGTTTTCCATCAGGAGTTCAAGACAGTGGGTACATTACTCTTCCAGTGTTTCTTTTCAGCAGGATCACTGTGGGATATGCTAATCTGAGAGAGATAATAAATATCTTAAAATCAGTTGGGTGACCTTCCATGAATCCCATGCTATTCTATCAGCTCTAGGCTATTCCAACACTTAAGCTCAGTTCAAAAGAAATTTACTAATATCTGCTTTCAGTCTTGCCTTACATTTAATCTCTCCTGCCATACACCTTAAATTATGGGAAGGAGGTAGCGGGACAGTGTATAAGGGTGAGATAGAACAAATAAATTGTAATTTATAGTACAGTATCTTAGTATTTGTCACCAAGAAGGAAATATATGTATCAGGGCAACATCTGCAAAAAAAAAAAAGTTTGACAGTGTTTAAGATGAACAGAGCTACTTTATCACTTAAAAAGACTGAAGAAGGTGACAATATAATTATTACCTTCTACAATGATAATGTTTCTCAGAGTGATAACATATGTATGTTTTTGTGATGTTTTCTTGGCATTAAACATTAGCTTTTTTCTCCTGAAAAAGTACAGCAGTAAGCTTTTTCTTGAACTGATTTTGCAACTGTTTTCAACCTTCTTTTATCATTTTAAAATATTTAGGTATTGATGCAGAACTTTATTATGTGAGAAATGACCTTATCAATCACTTCGCTTTGTCATTTAATCTACAAGTACCAGTAGAGACAAACAACCTTCATTTCACTTGGCATGCAAAGTCTAAGGTAAGCAAAAGCTATTTTCAGGTTGCAAAAGAATTGATTGTATAGCTGTAACTGAGATTTGTAAAGAAAAATCACTCAGGGGGTCCTATAGAGACTCGAGCTATTCTCCAAAGCACCTGCAGGCAGGACAAATAAAGGATGGAAACTAATCAAGGAGACAAGAAACCTAGAACTAAGAAGAAATTCCCCGACAGTTAGAACAATTAATCAGTGGAACAACTTGCCCCCAGAAGGTTTTAAGAAGAGATTGGACAACCATTTGTCTGAAAGGGTATGAGTTTCCAGCCTGAGCAGGGGATTGCATTAGAAGACTTCCAATGTCCCTTCCAGCTCTGTTATTGTATTCTATAATCCCATATAGGAATAATAGAGTTCTTTTGTGAATTTACGAGCTTTAAATTATTCCAGATGGAAATCTGTGTTAGTACATACCTAATATATATAAATGTATTTAATTCAATTTTGGTGAACTATAGATGACAATTCAAATAACATCAATTCCATTATGAGTGAAATAATGAGTGCAATATGTGGTATTTCTTGGTTTCTTAGGTATTTCTGTATGATTCAAAGATTAAATATTTCACTACTATTCCAACATGTATATTTTATCACCTAGTTTAATAAAGCAAAAAGTATTAAATATTTAAACATTGAATACATTTATGAAGAAATGAATGTGTATTTTTCTATATAAAATAATTTTTGATTCATTCTCTTTGATTATTCTTGCTTCTTGGTATAAAAGTGATTTACAAAGCATTCACATTTTTTTTATCTAAATCTCTCCCTCAGATATGATATTGGCACCTAACAAACATGTTTTGTAAACAGTGTAACTGTAACTTGAAACATAATCTTTTGTTGAACATATTTTTAGTTTGATATCTTTCTGCTTATTATTACAGATTGAATATAAACTGGGATTTCAAGTAGATAATCTGTTGGCTATGGATATGCCACAGGTAAATATTTCTGAACAAGGAGAAGTTCCTCGAACTTTATCAGGTGAGTGCATTTTCCATTAGATCTGGCAGAGAACAGAATATTCAAATACAGTTAACTGTTTACTTTAATGGACACACACACACACGAGAATTCTATAGAATTTGTTAGTTTGGGATGGAGTGGAAAAGCAACTTAACATAGACACAGTCATTGTATTAGAGCATTTCTTGCCTCATTTTAGGAAATTGATTTTTGCTTCCAATTTTCACCCTTTATCCATCTTCATATGCAAAATATAATTTAAAACATGTTCTGTTTATAAATGAATCGATATTTCATGCTAATTTACTTTAAATAAGACCTTTCTTCTTGATCCCAGTAGATGTTCAGGAAGTAGATGTACTTCATATTAGTATCGTAATAGGATGCTACCAGGAATTCCTGTTTCTTTCCCCAATAAGAAAGAAGATAAAATAGGTTACCTGAGTAAAACCAAAATCTCTGGGTACTTCTGTTCTACATTGACCAAGGAAGTGCCATCTTTTTTTCGTAGTTGTAGAGTATGATAGGTTAAAGAAAGATGCTGCCAGATTTTGCTGCTGTTTAATCAAGCCATTTGAGCTTATGTTCATTAGACTATGGTGGCCCGCTCGCTGGAATAAGTAAATAACAGGTTGATGATGCAAAAAAATGTATGTGATTTGGAAACAAATTAAAGACAATGAAAGAATCGTGGTTTCTAAATTATAGTTATCTTTGATTTTTAAATTATAAAAAAGTTTTGAAGACATTTAAAACAGTAAGATTAGCCATTTTGTTTTATCTTTCAATTTATAGTATTTCGGATGGAACTGTCTTGTACTGGCAAGTTAGACTTTGATGTTACAGTACTAATGCAACTCAACATGACTGTTAATACTTCTAAAAATATCACAGTATTAAATTTCAAACGGAGGAAAATGTGTCATAAAAGTAAGTTACAGCTTTTTTGCTTTTTTTATTTTGCAAGAAATCAATTGCAAACTTTTCATAGAAACTTCTCTATTGGAAAGCACTCTATCACTGCACCTCTTTTTTTAAATTCACCACTTTAAATTGCAGAAAATTCGTTTGTAGGTTTTGCCACTAAAATAGATAGCTACTATGGTAGAAATAAAGTATTGAGGACAACAGAATTATGTGCTTGTAAGAGATAATTTCGATTTTCAATAACAATATTTTTGTCAATATTCATAAACTAATGGAAATAAAAATGAAATGAAATGCAATAGTAACCGATAACTACAGTAAAATTGTAAATTGTCTTTTTATCATTGTTTACAATTTCCTGCTAGATAATACCTACTAAACTATTTTAATATGTTTCAATATTATGTATAAATATGTTTTATTGATTACAGTGGTTTCACAAGACTTTTCCCCCCAATAATTTACATTTTTAAGTATATAAAAAAATCAGGATTTGAATTCAGAATATGAATTGAATTTAGAAAGTTAAATATTATGTTTCCTTGAAATATGTTGGCAAATTCATTCAACTATTTATCTCTTTCTTTCCTTGGATCATAATACATTCTCAATTTAATTTTGGTTTATATTTCCCCCTGTTCCCTATGAAATAATTATATTTATATGAGAGTATTTTGTTTTTTATATATATCAAATCAGCTACATAAATTGTAATTCCCTTGTTACTGGAGGTTTGGAGGCAATGGTACTACATGCTATGGTATTTCCTCTGTAGATCGTGGATTGGGTAGAATTTTTTAAATTACCAAACTTTCAAAGCTTTGTGTTTCTGTTGGTGCTTGGGTAACTTATTTTTTTAATTCTCTTCTAATAAAAGAATTTATAAGAAAATTTATCTAAAATGCCCCTTTTCTCCTTTTATCTTTAGAACTTGATTTGGAAGTAAAGTTGCCAATATTAGACAAAAATAACACTAAAGCCATTTGTAAGTAAATGTTTATACACAATGATGGGGATTTTTGCTCCTTATTTTAATTCATGTTATTATTTGCATGAAAAGAGTCATATATATTCTTTTTGAATTATCTGCTCATATAGGAATCAGAAACTAAATTCTTCCCAAACTTCTGTTGAATTAAGAAAATTTGCTCAGACTTTCAAACTCTTTTTTTCATTCCTGTTATTCATTTAAAGATCCTAAGTTACTTAGTATTTGGACACTATATTGGGCGCTAAGTGTCAGCAGCAAGAAATCAGGTGCCAGGATAGCACTACATGTTTATTTCATGCTACCTATGTTCAAGAATCTGAACTACTAATGGTCGAGACAACTTGGTGCCAAATAAGAGCCAACAGATTTCAAGTGGAGGCTGAACTTACATCCCATGCTTACATATGGGTGCCTGGGGACTCCAGGTTGATGATGTATTTGACCACCTCAGTCTGGTCATCTCCTACTTTAAGAATTATAACCAAATTAGCAATTTATGCTTAAGCATTATCAATATAATGAAGTAAAATCCTAAGACAGCTTTCCAGCCTATTTGAGTGTACCTATTAGTAAATCTGGTTATTCAGCAACAGGGAATATTTTGAATGAAGAGGAGAATCTGGCAGACACAGACTTTTGTATGCCACAAAAACTGCATTGTCACAGCTGAGCAGCCACATAAATAAAATATATATTCTCAATTTATTTTTACGTTATGAATGCCTTTACTATTTTATAGATATTTGGAATGGAGGTCTTTTTATTTCATGCTGTTTTTGATTGCTAGCCACTGAGTCTTCATGAATGGATTATATAGATCCACACAGGAATAAACAAATAAGCTGTTCCAATGTCATATTATTACGTTCTTGCCATGTTGTTTTTATAGTAACCAGTTCAATAGTCTATATTAAATTTTGCTATCAGTTACTTTTATACATAAATAATTTTATATTTGTTATGTACTGAACATAACCAAATTTAAATCTGGCATAAATGCACTTTTAAAATTTAAAGTTCTACAAATACAAATTTGAGCTCTATATAACATAATGCTGCATAACATATTCTTTTTCTTGAGGTAGATAAAGGTTCCCCTTGCCATATGTGCTAGTCATTCCCAACTCTAGGGAGTGGTGCTCATCTCCGTTTTTAAGCTGAAGAGCCAGCGCTGTCTGATGAGAATTCCGTGGTCATGTGGCTCGCATAACTAAATGCGAAGGCTCATGGAATGCTGTTACCGTCCCACATTTTTCTTCTTGCATTTTTACATGCTTTCGAACTGCTAGATTGGCAGAAGCTGGGGCAAGTAATGGGAGTTCACTTCATTACGCGCCGCTGGGATTCAAACCACCGAACTGACAACCTTTCAGATTGACAAGCTCAGCGTCTTAGCCACTGAGCCACCACGTCCCCTTTTTTCTTGAGCTAAGATCTGTCAGATATATGCATTTAATTTTCACTAATTGTTTGTTGAATTTTTTGTTCAATTTCAGTTGATCCTGTAAATGCAGCTCCCACCACTTCTACACGTGTGTTTTATATCAGTGTTGGAGTTTGCTGTGCGGTCATATTTCTGGTAGCAATAATACTAGCTGTTTTGCATCTTCACAGTATGAAAAGAATAGAATTAGAAGACAGGTAAAAGGGTCTTTCATTTTTTGTCTGTGCAAGACTGATCCAATTTTAAAAAGCAAATATGATTCTTAAGTTACTTGTGGCAACCATTCTCTAATTATCCAGCTTTGCGCCTCTGATTTTCCTTCAAAGGGATGAGAAATATGCTAAAAATGAGATATGCCAAAGTTGTTTTAAATGTTTTTAATTGTATTTTAGTGGTTGTGTTTGAGTTATATTGATTGTTCAACATTGTATTTTAATTATTTGTGCTGCCAAGAGTCACATGCACGAGATAGATAGCTATAAAAATTAAAGTATTAGGGTAGGCTTAAAATGGCAACATATAACTTATTTATTATATGCATACACTGCCAAAATCATATGCTAGTTGTTAGTTCACAAAGTGGACGAAACATCTACAATATAAGACATGAAAACAGTAATAAAGATATATACAGGTTAGTTTTCCTATAGTGTTTATATTGGATGTGTTTCTTCTAATTATCAAGGCTCATACTCTGATGGTGTCCGTTATTTTGCCTTTGCTGTAATTAGTGCATAACAGATGAAATGATTAGCACAATAATAATTGAACAAACTAATCTTCTTGAAGGTACCCTAGTATCAAACCATTTTTTTTATAATTAGGAAATTATATTCATAAATTATTGATAAACAACTATGTATTATGTCAGTGTCATGTTCTGCAAGTTAGCAAATGGACTACATATTTTGTTCCAACCAAGCAGTCTTAGAAGGTACCGTAGCTCCTAATAGAGCATTTCTTAGTGATCTTCTCTCAGCCTTTTTCGTTTTAGTAATGACTGCATGGAAGGAAATAGACCAATATGGATATGTGTATAATAGTAAAATAGATAAGAAATATGTTATTGTCTCCACTTTTCATAGCCTTTGTAGTTTTGTAGAAAACTTAAAAAGTACTTCTCATTCTGAATATTTCAAAAACCTTATGTTTCATAAGCATAGTCAAACTTTGTTTCTTTATTTGGAGCATCAGAAATTCACTTGTAGTCTTTTGTCATAGGCCAAATTTCTAAATTTTGTTTTTCTTTCTTTAGCTTTTATGATTTGAAAAAGAAAGCATAGGTAAAGCATTTGAATATAAATATGCAAATGTGGACACTATCGCTGCCATTATACTACAAATTGTATTTGTTCTTTTAGAAAGGTATACAGGGCTTAAAGTTTGATTTGTTTTAAATTATATTCCTTAGAAATGCTGCTGAATGGCTTTTTTCTATTTCCTAGCTTGATTGAGGTTGCTTAAGTTTTTTAATATCTTTGATGAATGCAAACTACATTTTGTAGTGTTTAGACTAGAAGTGCAAAAGTAATTTAGAAAAGTTGAAATTATTCGGTTTTCCTCAGAAAATTGAAGATAATTTTTGAAACTTGATGTGAAAGTTTTAGAAACAATAATGTATTTTGTGTTTGTTTTCCAAAGCAGCATTAGTAACAGCAGTAGTTCTCAAGGTTTATCCCAGCCTTCAACTCAAACAACCCAGTATCTGAGAGCTGACACACCTAATAATGCTACACCAATTACTAGTAAGTGTTTATCCAATTACAGGTTTTGCATTGTGCATTAGTCATTTATGTAGTCCTTTACTCCCAGAATTCCCCAACTATCACGTCCATTGTTAAGAATTTAGGGAATTGAAATTCATATAATTGGAAATCAGCCAAAGTTGAGGAAAACTTGTAGTGTTACTGATTGTTTAAAAAAATCAAAGTGATGTTGACTAAGAGTTAAAGTAAGAGGTGAGATAAAAACAGTTAATTTTGCCCTTAAATGTTCAGGGCTACAAGAAAACAAAGATGCACATATAATAAAAAAAAAACTTTTCTTCTAACTTAAATTAAGGATTCAATCCATCATTTTGAGAAACCATCAACATATCCTGCCTACCAAAGAAAATTTTCAACTAATTTACTGCTAAAAATATTTTTGAACATACTTTACAATACACTTTAGCAGTGTCCATAAATAAGCAATATCTTCATGAAAACAATTGCTATAATTTCTAAGAGACTTTAATATTTCAAAGTATACAGGGAAATAAACAGCTTTCATATAACAGTACCATTTAAAGCCCAGAAGATGGCAGTGTGCCTGCTTTCTTGACTATTAAAATATTATATAAGCTTGTGTAGTATTTAGTAATTAGTCAAAAGGAAATTGTTTTATTATCATGTAGAAAACATTGAATTGGGTTTTGGGTTGGGTTTAGTTGGTTTGGTATTGGTGTTTTTGTGTTCTAGCATTTTATATATTTAGTTTTTAGGTTTAGTCTGCAGAGTAATTTTTGAATCTGTCTATAAGTTAAGTAAAATAAAGGCATACTGTATTGTTCAGGAGCAGGTATTTTTCTTACAGTATTAAAAATGACATTTCTTTAAGTTGCAACATTTTTGTCTCTAATTGTTTTATTAAACTTGCACTTCAAGTATTTATATTTGATATTTATATTGGTATTGTTTGGGTTTGCTGGTTCCTCAGGTTATCCTACTCTACGGATAGAGAAGAATGACCTTAAAAGTGTAACTTTGATGGAGGCGAAAGCTAAAGTGAAGGATATAGCAATCTCCAGAGAGAGGATAACACTGAAAGATGTTCTTCAGGAAGGTATTATTTAAGCATTGCTCTTTTTAAAAAACTTTTTTTCTCTCTTTTCACAGTTTCTGTAAATTATTCAGATAGATGTTGGTAGTTTTAAGCAGTTAACCAAAATAATCAACAAAATGGTCAGTTTAAAAAACTGATTTTTATCTGAGTTTTTTGTTAGGTGCTTGTCACAAGATAAAAAATAACCTGGTTTTTTTTGATAGAGAAAATAATCAAATTAATAGTAAACTGCCATAGAAAAGCAAAAAAAAAAATGCCTTTCATTGCAGCATGTTCTTTAGAAATATTTTTAAACTTCCCAATCTATCTGGCAACCCTGAAATTATATATGGTTTCCATATGCTAACCAGAACTGATGCTGCTTAGGTTCCAAAATAAGTGAAAGGTGTTAGCAAGATGCTGCACCCGAGTCTGATTTCTTCTTGCTTAATGCTTAGGGAAGAGAATTTATTTGAGTCAGGATCTGTACAGTATAAATTATTATAATAATAAAATACCTATATTTTACTATTTTTATGTTAATTGCTGTTCTCAGAAATCACTTTTCAATGTTACATAATATACAGCCATTACTATAGTTTGTGCATTCAAATGTCATGTCCAAGCCCTTGTAATTGATGTAGCTTCTTAAGCTTTTAACTTCTGGTTAACTTGCTCATTTCCCAGCTTTTCTAATCAAATTAATTTAGACATAACATTTTAGTGCTTGAGGCAACCAAAGTGCACAGTTGGAAGAACAAGTTTGTCAAATTTAAGGAAAGATTGTGATTTTCAGTTTATCTGTGATCTCTATCTTAAAATGGATTTTAAAAGTCTTGAGCAGTCTATATTTCATTGTATTTCAATAATTAATATTTTCTTATGTGTATGCCGTGACTCTCAGTAACATTGGGTGGTGTTTTGAATTGTGGTTGACTGGATGGATTTGATGAGTTCTACAATTTTTTGAAAATGAGGATTTCGCTATAGCTGCGTTAACTTCTACAGTTTATATTAAAGTTTATACTGACACGTCTTTTGGTTTTTTTGTTCCTCCAAATTATACAATAACAAATCAAAGTTCAGTTGTCAAATACTGTGTGATTCAAAGCAAAGAAGCATTAGTTATGAATGTTTTTTTAAAAAATTTTAAAAATAAACTTTATTAAACATTAAAAAATATATACATAGTACAAAACATTTTGTAACATACGAAACCAAAAAGATATATCTAACCAATAAACATAAAAACATAAACATTTCTAATTGCTTAGATGGTGTGTTCTTATCAAGCAATTTTCCAATACTTATTTCCTATATCTGGTAGATACTCCTATCATAACCTCTTTATATTTTCCCTTCCCTATCTGTTTACTCGCTGGTTTCCATCCTTTATCCAATTATGCCAGTTTTCTCAAACTGTAATATTTTGAGTCTTCCTTATCTTTTAACTTTTGGGTGAGCTGTGAATGTTCTGAGGAGGAGGATCAATTATTAGGGTTACCGTATTTTTCAGAGTATAAGACACACTTTTCCCATCCCCAAAAGTGAGTAGAAATGTCTGTGTGTCTTATCCAGGGAATGTTGCCGAAGCCCCACTCACCCGTTGGCCCCCACCCTTTGGCCTCTGTCTCCCAGTGATTTGCCTCCTTGCAGCAAACAGCTTGTTTCAGCTTCAGCACAGCCTGATTAGCACAAGCAGACGATTGTCAGTTGGATCACCTCCTGACAATCAGCTGTTTCAGGCTGCAGGGATTGCCTATTGCCCTCTCGTCCTGTTTTTGGCTTCTGCGCCCCCCATTTTCCATCCATTCTGATCCCTGCCTCCTGGAACAGGTGTAAAATGGGATGCAGAGGCCGAAAATGGGGCACGCGGAGGCAGCAATGGCAATCCCTGCAGCCTGAAACAGCTGATCCTCAGGAGGCCCATCCACCCAAAGAGGCAATTTTTTTTCTTGTTTTTTTTCCCCAAAAGCTACTCATGTCTTATACTTCGGAGCATCTTATACTCCAAAAAATACAGGTAATTGCTCTTCACAGTTGAGTTGTTTGAAGTATGTACAAATATTTTTATATACGGTTTTTTTTCTTTAATTTTTCTTATTCTCAGGCACATTTGGTCGAATTTTCCATGGTATTCTAATAGAAGAGAAAGATCCTAGTAAAGAAAAACAAGTCTTTGTTAAAACAGTAAAAGGTAAGTTTTCAACATTGAATTTCATTCTTGGGTAGCCATGCTTCTTCATCAACATTCATTTCTAGGTGAATGACCTTTAGGTCAAAAGAAATGACCTTTAGCATAGGTTTTTTTCCACTCACAGAATAGATGGTCCCATTATATTATAGATAATGTGTACATTTCAAGCATATTTTTAGAAACCAACAAAACAGTAAAGATATTGGATTAGTGAATCTGGAAGTTGGTGCCTTCTACTGAACCTTTAGAAATACGTGTTTTTAGGGGGAAATCAGTTTGCAATATAAGTGATAACAGGAAGAAAGAAAAAATGAAACATAAAACATATTAGCTTTAAATTCTAAATTGAAAGGGTATCTAGCTTGTACTTTTCTAGTAAAAAGAACCAAGTGCATGGTCTTGTGAAAAAGTCTAGAATTAAGAAAACTAGAATAGATCTTGTCCACCTATTTTGCTAATGAATTGATAATCAGAATATACTGCTACCTTTTATCATGAGGTTTTTAAAAAATATATTGCAGATGTTTCTATGCCATTTCAGTTATATAGTTCCTAAGCGGTTTATAGCATAACATTAAATACATATTATATAAATCAAAATTATTAGACATAGCAAACAAACATAAGTGCTATCAACACGTATATTTGATAAATGATAACTGATTGCTGTAAGTACTATGAAGAATTAACATGGATTCAAATGACATTAATAATACATGAAAACAGCAGTAGCCAAATTTATTTCACCTTAGGTATTTCTCTTATCCTCACCTTAATCTCCATATTCACATTTAAAAGCCATTTTGAAAAAGCTTCCTGGAAAATAGGAGTAAGGATGCAGTTTGATGGGAGACCATTCTGTGGGAGGGAACTCTTCCACGTCCCCTTTGGTTGCATCTTAGCTAGAGTGGGTATGTATTTTAAATTACTGACTATGGGTTAGATTTGTTTTCTTAGAAAAATGAACGATGTACTGTATACGAAACAACAAGGAAATTATATTGATAAGAGAACACAATAGGTTTGATCTAGAGTTTATACTGCATGAATAGAATAGTTCTCCTTTGGAAATGATCCTATCAGGCATGGTTCAAATACTTGGGATCAAATCCAAATTCCTGGAACTGTTTTAAAAGATAAAACATATTGAATAGAACAGTATTTTAATATCATAGTTTTAATTTGAATGTAAGGCTTTTTGACTTGGCTATTCATACTTGAAAGGTATCTAATTACTAAAATAGGTTCTTTAAAGAAACTTAGGTAATAGGTAATTTCCATGCAAATAACTTGTATTAACATTTTATTCACACCTTGTATAGAAAAAGCTTTCAAAATATTATTAATATTAATGTGCTTATGGTGTCCATCTTTTGCTTTTGTTTGTCTGTTTTTATTTCCCAATCAAAATAGTTTATCCAATAGGTACAAGAGAATGAATAGTTTTGTGTGACACCCAATAATTTAGATACACTGGGAAAATGTAATATGAATCGATCCATATCTGCAGAAAGATTAGTTATAGTTACTAAGTTTTTAAAAATTTACATAGTTATTAACTTAAAACTATTGTAGTTTAAGATAAATTTACAAGTACATTTTAAATTCTTTAACTTGTTTTTGTATCACATGCATGCATTCTATGTTCTCTGAGTGAAAAGTTTCATAATTTAATCTAATAAATATGCTTTGGTATCTTACTGCTTATTCCAATTGTGGAGTTATATGCAATATCTAAATGCTTAATATTTCATGAGTACATTTATTTAGGCACATTTTATTTTTTGATGTTATGTATGCGCAAACATGCACACACATATATAATTGGGATTTATTCTACTTATTCTCTTTTACTATTGTTATTTTTACTGTAATTTTTATGTAATTTCAGTTAGATTTCTTTCCATACAATCTATATACTACCAAAACTCTCATGTCTGTTTATTTGTGACCTTCAATTGGATGAAACAGTGCATCATAGGGTGATGATTTTTGAACCAAGGTACCTGAAATTAGCTAATTTACAGAATGCATCCAAAATCTGGGACCATCAGTTCTGTGAGATTGAAATTAACCAAAATTGTGGCTGCTTCACTGCCACTACAAGTTCTGGTTATACTTCCCAGAAATTTGTGCTTTCCATAGAACAAAGGAAGATGAGATGGTGCCCACCTCTTTCCCATTTTCTTCTTGACCATGTACCTACATCTAGCAAAAAGGCCCAACCAAGGCTGCAATTCTGAGATTTCTGAATGGGCAATGAGGATAGGACAAGAGAGTGACCTGGATGTTTACTGGCAAAGTAGGGCTGGATAGGGAACATGATGTTTGAGGGGTGAGCCCTCTTTCTCCCTGAAAAGGGGGGCTCTTGAAATGGGAAACAAAGGTGCAGTTTTCTTCATAGTCTATGCCTCCCTTTGTTCCCCTTCCTTTCAACAAAATGGTAGACAGTTTCGTGTGTCAACCAAGGAATAGAAAGGATGATTTCCAACACTCCCTATCACTTACCACAAGCAGCGTTGATTTGAAAACAGGCAGGAGGTTAGAAGTCGTTCCTGCTTCTACTGCCTTTATGTGTGCCTGTGGCTATTCTGTTTCTCTGTTTAGGTAAAGAAATATCTCTGAGAGAATGACCCAATGGGCCACAGATGTCAAGTAGTACCTAAAAGTTGTATTAGAACTTTAATACAGCAGCATACTCTTACTGCTTTATTTTCCTCGTAGCTATTTTCATGCAAGTGAAACAATTCAATATATTCCTTATCTTCCCAGTTAATACTTGTGGAAGTGTATGTGAGGAAAAAGGTGCAATGTAATATATTTATTACACAGACAAGTTTTCATTGAATGTAGAGAATTATATATAATGTGAATCTTGTTTTATTAGTCATTTTACATGGAAAAGTTGGTATGGTGTATCATATAACAATTGAAGTATTCAAGATTGTTTCAGATAAATCTCATTAAAATTGTGCCATATATAAATACCTGTTTTTGAGCATGCATATTTCATTTATTACTTGAAGAACGTAACTTATTACAAAAAAAAAAGGAATTGAAGGAACCGGGCCAATCAAGAAAAAATCATTTAAAAAATGCTACCAAATTATTCTGCACCAAATTTAAGAAGTTAGGAGATACACTCCTTCATCCAGTTTCTTTATTCTTTAAGCATTTTGAGTTTTTATATTTAAGTCTGCAAACTCATTTCAAGAAAGCTTTTTTCCATCTATACAAATTGGCTTTAACAAAAATTTGGCTTTCTAGATCAAGCTTCGGAAATTCAAATAACAATGATGCTGACAGAAAGCAGTAAACTCAGAGGCCTTCACCACAGGTTAGTGTTCTTTTAAAATCATGCTAACATTGTTTTATGGGATTGAATGGTTTATTTAAGATTTATTTCAGCAAATAGCTTTTTTAAAAAATTATGGAAGATTCAAAATTGTCAGCTTCTGCCTTCAGCAATATCTTGTTCATTATTTGCAAAGGGCAAAAGTAAAAGAAAAGAGAACAGATGCATTTGAGGATAATGAAAGCATGTTTTTCTAAGAAACTTTTACAATAATTGAAAATGTCCAGAAATGTAACTGAAAAATATTTAGAAAGAATATTTTTAAAGTGAAATCAACCTTTTCTGCAGTCCTAAACATGCTTTTAAAAATTTAGTAATTTCTTACTTTTGCCCTTTGATAAATAGGAAATTAGTATCCATTTCATATCTTTATCCGCTTCTGAATATTTAATTCATAATACAGAGAAAATAATTTTCTAATTTTTGTGTGACAGACTGAAGCCACATAGTTTTTTTTTTATTTTCTCAGTATAGAAAGATATAAAGAGATCATGTATTGACCAATATACAGTATACATAGTTATGGGTATTTGTTCTCTCCTGACTAGAAGATAAAGTTCTTGTTGAATGTGATTTCTTTTTACTCGCTATGTTTATCAAACAACTAGTAGGCTATTCCCCATATATTTCATTTTATTCAGCTGCTCCTTTTGAAGTAATTATGAAATTCCATAATTTACCTCTCCTAGATATATTTTTGTATATTTTTATATACTGTTATACAGAAATGTATTGTGGAAAAATAGAAACAAAAAGGATAAGAATGATAATTCTACAGTTTATGCAGTAGTACTCATTGGTCATGGAATATTAATTGACAGTGAAATGGCATAACATTATAACAAGCCAACACTCTATTTCTTTCAGAAATCTACTCCCAATTACTCACGTTTGCATAGAGGAAGGAGAAAAACCAATGGTGCTGTTGCCTTACATGAACTGGGGGAATCTCAAGCTTTTCTTGCGACAATGCAAACTTGTAGAAGCTAATAACCCACAGGTAAGATGTGCTTAATCGTAAAATTCTTTGGTCATAAACCATAAATAAATAATAACTAAACTTTGCTTGAACAAGTTAATTAAATGTCACCTTTTATTTCAGGCAATTTCTCAACAAGACCTTGTACATATGGCAATTCAAATTGCCTGTGGAATGAGCTATTTGGCCCGAAGAGAAGTTATTCACAAAGACTTGGCTGCTAGAAACTGTGTGTAAGTCTTGAGGTGTAAAAAGATAAATACATAAAGCCATGGTGTTGAAAGAACAATATTTTGAATGCTCTACTGTTTAGTCAGGTCAGGTCACCCTTTCTCAGAGGTAATATAGGAATATGTGGATTCTAAAATTGTATTTCCTGGCTCCTGAAAAATGCAAGTTATTCCTTGCCCATATTCTGTTGCTTTCAGCTCCAATATTTAAAATTAATGAAAAGTTTTCAATGTATAGAATTTTTATATATTTGGATGGTGGCAGCAAAATGGGACAGGACGCACTTATGTTTTAAGAAGTGTCGAACTCTAAGCAATAATAAAACAAATTATGTTTGCACTTCTAATATTAGACTATGTTATACAGCGTGATTTTCTGAGCTTTGTATGGGAAGGATGACTTAAGATGATTAAGACTTGCCTATAAAAGTTTTACTGCCTTGCCTAAATAATTGTCCATATATATTTCAATATGCAGCATTGATGATGCACTTCAGGTAAAGATTACAGATAATGCTCTGTCCAGAGACTTATTTCCAATGGATTATCATTGCCTTGGAGATAATGAAAACAGACCAGTGCGTTGGATGGCTCTTGAAAGCTTGGTTAACAATGAATTTTCTGGTGCTAGTGATGTGGTAAGTTAACAGAAATCATTAAGTATTACATTAGAATCTTTTAAACCATGTAAATATTTTTAAATCACAATTTCTATTTGCAGATAGCTTTCTTAAGATGATCAATATGGTTATTTCTGCCAATGATCTTAAAGCAAAATAGTTTGAGAAATAGCGTTGTATACATCATTTATAACTGGAAGGGGTTTGAAGGAGTTACCCTTATTCATTACCAGCATCATAGCCACAATGCTACGTCGCCTCCGTTGGTTATATTAGAATATGTGTAAAAGCTGTATAAACTGTATAACAGTGAAGACAGAACATGTCAGCTTAAATTTTATTACCTACAAAGTTCAAAACGTACGGCAGTATCTTTTCTTAAACTTTAAAGTGAGATGATATTACAAATTAGCCTTACATTGTATTTTATCTAATAAGATCCAGAGCAATTCCCTTTTGTTTGGGCTCATCATTTTTGTTAAAGTAACATTTTGTTACTTTTAATGTTTCTCACTCCTTTACCACTCTTTCTAACCAGCCCTTAAAATTACATGTAAAAGTCAGTAAACCAGGAAATACATTCCAAATGAACCAAGTGCAGTATTTGGATTGTTTTAATGATTTTTAATTATTATGTGATATATTGGATTTTGCATCTTTCATGGCTACAATAATTTAATGGCTGAAATCTTCCTTAATTCTTTTTTCTAAGTCTACATGCAGGTTACTTGATAATGATAAATAAGCTGTTTATATATTGGGAGGGGGAGGTTAATTTTAGATCAGGAATCTCCAAACTGAACTGATTGGGGAATTCTAGGAGTTGAAATCCCCAAGTTGCCAAGTTTGGAGACCCATGTTTTTTGTCCTAAGTTTTGTATTTAGAAATCCTTGTAGCAAAACATTTTGGTGAATTGCTATGCAGTCGTGGATGTTATTTGACAGCAAAAAGCATCGAACCACCAGACACCATAATAGCATTAAAATTCTCCAGAATAATAAGGAATAAAGACTACAGCTTTAAAATTTTATCTAACTTTTGTCAGATTTAAACCTATTTCCTTTTTTCTAAGATTTCCATTGCTGGTACTCTACAATGACAGTTGTTCTTCCTGGCTTTGGGGAGAGTTTTAGGACTGCTTTAATTAGCAAACTTATCTCAATACTGTAACTATTTCTCACATTTTTATATTAAGATTTCAGGAAATGTTTAATTAGATTACTTTTAAACTTTTAAATATGATGATGATAAAAATGATTGTTTAGTTATATGATCCTAAATATAAAATAACTCTTTTTAAATTGACTATATTTTAAGTATATGTTTGTGCATTCAAGTTGTGCTATTCTGCATGTGTATTTCTATTATGCTTGAATACAAAGTGGTAACTTTTTCAAGCACTTAAAACAGTAACTAAACAATTTTGTTACCATGTCTGTTACATTGCAGCTCACCTATATTTAAATGTTACATTAAATATTTAGAAACATTTGCTTTGAATTCCTAAATAAGAAAAATGTTGAGACAATATTTTTGAATTCTAATCAGCTGTTCTATCTAATGTTTTCTAGTGGTCTTTTGGGGTGACCTTATGGGAATTAATGACTTTAGGACAAACTCCATATGTAGATATTGATCCCTTTGAGATGGCTGCCTATCTAAAGGATGGATACAGAATAGCTCAACCAATCAACTGTCCCGATGAATTGTAAGTAAAGATAGTTGCAGCTGATGGTGACTTACACTTAATCAGTGAGAACTAATTTAAAATAACTATAGATTTAACGTTTCTTTTTCTCTAGGAGTGGGCAAACAAGGAAACTTGAGAGCATCTTTTCCAATTTTTCATAGTCAAGGCCATAATAGCTAAGACCATAATTTCAATTAGTGAGTTGAAAAAAAAGTACAATTCCAGAAAAAAATCCCAAAATGTTTTATATTAAAATGTATACAAAAATAACTTTTGGATCTTAAATGGGGCACATTGTACAAGTGTACAAAATGTGCTGCGGTAAGTATAACAAGTTTGAATGACTTATGCTTGCTTTTATTTTTTTTAGATTTGCTGTGATGGCTTGTTGCTGGGCACTAGATCCTGAGGAGAGACCTAAATTCCAGCAGCTGGTGCAGTGTCTCACTGAATTTCATGCAGCCTTGGGAGCTTATGTCTGACAATCAACATTTGACTTAAAAAACATTGCTGCATTCACAGAGAAAACATTGCCATCTATTTATGCAACTGTAACCTCTATCTTAAAATACCTGGAAGAAAATTCTATTAATTTTTGTGGAGTCTTTGCGTAATATCAACATCAGAAATTCAACATACTACGCAGTAGCTTCAGTAGAGGATCTTTTTCCAAAATCACTGTGCCTTAAAAGAGATAACCTATCCTGGGGAAGATTTGGGGATTATTCAAAATGACAATTGTTTGAAAAATAAACTCTTCCAATTTCCAAAACAATTCATGTAAATGAGTTGACAAAAATATAAGGTTAATTTTGGCACTGTTAAAGTAGATGCGAAACTCAAGGAAATAGCTAAGAAATGGGAGATGTCTGTTTTTTTAAAAAAAAGATTCAAGGGACAAAAGTCAACCATCCCCCCCTCCCCCCTTTTCCTTATCCCTAAAAGTCTTATGTGTGTTGCAGCATCAAAATATTTAAAATTACTTGACTGGTTTGGGTGTTGGGGTTTGTAGTTGGAATTCTTTGTATCAATTGCTTTTATTTTAAGATGATAGCACAGTATTGTTGAAATCACAAGAGGCCTTTTCTTATTTTTAGTCCCATTTTTCAGTAGCAGTTTTATTGGGAAAAATACTTTTAAGGTCATTGTACCCCTTCTAAGACAGCAAGAAATTATTTAAATATTATGTATTGTTCACTGAAAGTGTATGGAGATTCTCAGTTATCCATGTCATGGTTGTCCCAAAGATGCTTTTTCAAAAGACAACTGTACTTTGTTTTTCCTTAAAGACGTTCCCTTTTCATTCAAGAACTGAAGAAAGGAAACATCTTCAAGGAAAAATAAAGTGCAATTGCCTTTTGAAAAAGCATCTTTGGGACATTCATTGAAAGTAAAACTAAGCCTCATGCTAAGTGGTAAAAATCTGGTAACATATTACTAATGTTAAAAATGTTGAAGCTGTCTTTTTATTAGAAGTCTTTCATCCTGGTTTATAGAATACAATTTTCTTGTTAAAATGGTACGTGGTTTGTACGTGTAGGATTTTTTATGACCTGAAAAGGAATAAAATATATATATATTTTAAGGACACAGTTGATGAGTAGAAGAAATTGTTGTTACGATTAAATGACAGATTCTAAATTTGATACTGTGGTATTGCATGAAATGCATTAACATTTAATTCAAAATTTGGAAAAATGAATCCATTTTATTATTTCTCACATACTGAAATCCACTACCAATAAGTCACATGGTTTCTTAGATCTCATCCTGATAGTAAAAATTGGCTTTAAGAATGTTGAAATTATTTTTATACTTAGGTAACGCTTCTGCCATTTTGTTTGAATTCCTGTTCTCAGACAATTCAGATGTAACTGACAGATTATAGAAAAATCCCTGCTACAATAGAAATTGAATATAGTTTAAATCAAACTTTTTAAAACATACAGTTATGTCCAAAGATTTTCTCATACACATTGAGGAAACATGTTTCTGTCCAGTGCGAGTTGCTGTTCTGCCATTCAACATCATAAAACATGCACAGTGTTTTTGTCAATTTTTTTCTGCATTTCTTATTAGTGTCACATGGGATCACTCACAAAACTACAGCTGAGTATGTCTGGAGAATACAGCAGCAAAATGGTGGAACAAGTGAAAATAAAAGTCTTAATTTTGACACATTTTCTTTTGATCCAGGAGATCTTTTCTTAGTTCTAGTTTATGCAGTTACAGATAAGATATATTAGGAATTCTACCTTTGATAGAATGGATATAGTGTTGAAAACTATATAAAGTATTAGCTTTTACCAGTATGTGCTATAGATATATTGGAACTTCCATTGGCTTCAACAGAATGGAGGTGTGTCTGTCTGTGTATGTATGCATATGTATGGTAAAGTCCAAAACTGATGATACAGGAGAGAAAATTCAGCATGAAAACTTACTTGGTTATTTCATTGGGACTTCAAAATGGATAGAAGATTTAAATTCTTCCTAGTATGTTGCACTACAATTATTGTAGAATAACATTAAAACAAAACAAAATTACATGAACAAAAAAGAGGATATGAAGCAAGTCAACATGATGTACAACTTATAAGTTTTATGAGGACCTTTGTCCTCTCCAAAATTACTTGGCACTATTGAGACAAGCAGCAGTGAGTGATTCATCTTTTAGAACCTGATACTAATCTGAAAATGAATATTCATTTAAAACAGCATATTTTTCTAATAATTTGAATAGCAATGAAGTTAGGCCAAAATCAAGCACTTCAGAAAAGTTCCAGCCCATATGCTTAGCTCTAGCTTCAGGGAAGCGTACTTCTTTCAAGTTATTATGTACACAAAATTTACAAAATCAATGGTTATGCAACACACAGTGGTATTTAGTAAGCTTTAAAGGGAAATCTAATCTGTAGTAAGTAAATTCTGTTGATTTTTGCTTTAATCTTGTTTTCTTCTTAACTTCCTCTTTTACCACTTTGGGTGTTGAGGGAGATACAAAGTATTTGCAATATTCATATACTTTTTGCCTATTAATGTAAAAGCAGTAGAAGAGAAGTAGCATGCAGGGCAATTTTCCACAATGCTACAGTTCTTTTGTAAATGTATTCATGTATAAATTATCTGTTTGATTTTTAAAATACTGACTGATGGCAAAAGGTGATGTACTCATTGTAAAGGGAGATCCTAAATTGGTTATTATTAACATAGCAATAGGACTTAGACTTATATACATACCACTTCTACCTCTTTAAGCAGTTTTACAAATGTCACCATATTGCCCCTAACAATCTGAGTCCACATTTTACCAACCACAGATGGTCAATTGAAACAAACATAACAGGGGCCTTGAGGGTGGGGGGAGGAGAAAGCAAATTATATATATTGAAGCACACAGAGAATAAAGAATGCAATTTATCTGCCCGCTCTACAATAGCCTGCCATTATATTTCCACATACATCCCACTATCTTCTGAACATCTTATAAGAGCCGTGGTGGCACAGTGGTTAGAATGTAATATTGCAGGGTAATTCTACCGACTGCCAGCAGTTTGATTCTCACCAGCTCAAGATTGACTCAGCCTTCCATCTTTTCCAGTTTCTCAAGGCTAAATACATTTAGTTTCTTCAAGGTCTCTTTGTACCATTATTTTCTAGTTCCTTGCTCATTCCTGTTGACCTAGTTTGCATCTATTTCAATTTGTCTGATTTTTTTTTCTAGCACTGGAATTCCAAAATGAAGGATGTAGTATCAGTGTAGAATGAAATAGGCACAAATCATATCCTGTGAGCATACTGGTAGAAAAAGACAAACCGATAAAAGTATATATGATTTTAGGCAATAATGTGCCATTTTCTGTACCTGTTTTTCTTTTTACTATTAATATGGATTTTCTTTAGGAGAAAAATCCAGAAAAGGGAAAAAAAATATACCTTTTCATACACACACTCACGCCAAGTGCACACACACACACACACACTTAGTTTTCTTATAATGTGTGGGACTGTACCTCCCAGAATTCTCATAAATGATGGACTAATTGATCAGGGATCATTGAAATGGTAGCTTCACATAACTATAGGCTATTAGGTTGGAGAAGTCCATATATAATTTTTTTATTGTAAACAATAGAATTCATTGCATGCCTCTCAATACTCCATTGAATTTGCTTGAAATAACATTTCTTGGCTATATACAAGTCTATTGAAGGCTATTTTGGAAAAGTTTTGGTACCACTTGTTCCCTGAACAGTGAGTGAGGTCATTCAATTAGCAGGCATCCCACCCTGCCCTCCACCCTTTATATTAGATTTACCTCCATTGTGCAATTCATTTACATGTGCGTACACATGTGAGCAGTCACAAAAGTATAAATCAGAGCTGAAAGATTTATGATGGGGCTTGAACTGGTCAATTGTAATAAACTGAGGCAATATACTAATCAGAGGCCAAACAATAAATCATAAGGGTCTTGGATCAGAAAATAGAGCTTACCAGGGAAGCTGAACATAAAGAGGGCATTCTGTGTAAATAATTGCCAAGTGAGCTATTAGGTATTTGAGCTTCAGAATCGTTTGGGTGAAGTTATCCCTGGAAAATGTCTATGGAGACATTTTTCATCCATTATCTCTGGGAATTTCACACACCCAGGGGATCCACTCTGTACGTTTTTAGCTCATATTTGACCCCTTTGTCTAAAGGAACAGCAATGCCAATGGATGCAGTTGCTGATCTAGTAGGGAGATCACCAAAAGTTGATGCTTTGGTTCCTTCCTTCCACAATAATTTGCAATCCAAATTTGGGGTCAGATGGAATCTAACCTAGTCATACAAGATTTCTCATTTCCAAGGAATAAGTCCAAAGCTGAGTATGTGGACATTATCTGAGTCTAGAGATACCCAGGAAGGTTTTATGAGAGCATTCCTATATGGCAGTCCTGAATATTTCTCAAGATGCATTTAAAAAGGGTCCTCACAAAGGCACATTTGTGCAAATACTATTTTCTGCTATCATAAAAACATCTGGGGATGGCAGGAGTTCCAAAAACTCAAGATGGAGCCATGATCATATGATCACTCTCGTGTGCAATGAATGCAAAAGAAGGGCAGGCTTTGATCACACAGTTACACTAGCTATCTTGACATTTTTTGACCAACTTGCAGATTTATTTATTTGATTTGTCAATCGCTTACAAGATAATAGGTATAAGTATAAATATCAGTAGGAATACAGGAAATAGATACAAATAAATAGTGACAATAGGACAGGGATGGTAGGCATGATTGTGCACGTCCCTTACCTCTTAGGAATGGGGTGAGGTCAATAGTGGATAGTTTGAGGTTAAAGGAGGGAGGGGTTAGAGGATATAACAACAGAGCCAGGTAGTGCATTCCAGGCACTTTCTTGTTGTGTGGTCTTGTTGTAGTTGGAGCTGAAATAGTCATTGACTGGTAGGACATTGTAGCAGATAATTTTGTGTACTATGCTTAAGTCCAACTGTAGATGGCATAGTTCAAGGTTGTCCAAGCCCAAAATTTCAAGCCTGGAGATATAGGGTATTTTGTTGAGAGCAGAGGAGTGTAGTGCTCTTCTCGTGAAATACTTCTGGACTCGCTCAACTCTATTAATGTCCGATATACAATGCGGATTCCAGACTTATGAGGTATGATGTATGTATGTATGATGATGATGATGTATGTTCCTGTCAGTGGAGAGCTGATGAATTATAGATTTTATTCATACAGGTATTAGGCTAAAAAGATTAATAAATAGACACAACACCATTTGACTCAACTCTGCACATAGCCTTTTCACCAAACTCTTGTTACTCTATGTGTTAAAATTTCAAACTGCCCCCCCTTTGTTGGAACC